AAGTAAGAATACATTTCTCTCTTATGGAAAGTCTTGTTTCCCTTCAAACTAAGTATGAAAGTTCTTATCACCAAGCAGTGAAGAATCATGCTATCCTCAGCATAAAACACGCAAAGAAACAAATTACTTTTGGCAAAAGTCTATTGGGATTTAACTCCTTCCAGGTATTCCTTATACACTGATTGGAAATAAAACATAATTTAATCTTGTATATATGAATTCAATGTTAAGAATATAAGGACAGGAAAACTCCCCACACTCAATTCTGGATCTGAGCTGATATGTTCACAAAGCACTATGGAATGGTGTCAGTCCAGTACTAAGTAGCTAAGAGTTCATGGACAACTTTTACAAACTTATTGTAAGCTATTCTACTCTATTTTGAAAATGTTTCTCATTATCCAAACAATTTCCCTCCTCATTGTTATTACACAAAATAATGAAGTTTCAATGCATTCGCAGTAAAGCATTAGCTTTTTTCTTTCCTGAATATGAATAGAAATAAAGCACACAGTGCTTTAGAATCACACACTAAACAAGAAAACTCACCTATGCAAAATTTCTATCAACTTAAATCTAAAATAGACAACCTTCTGCTCCAAAAATATTATGACAAACCACAAACAGTTAATATCTGACTTAATTATTTGTATCCTAGAAATTTTTTATTATGATAAAAAATTTTAACTGGACTATTCTACTTATGTAGGAATACAAAATTGTTTTATCCAGTCTTCAATAAAGAAAGATATTCTGTTAGTTAGTCAACAGTAGCAAAGTTAGTCAACAGTAAGACGCTAGCTTGCTGACATATAGTTTATGTGAAATAGAAAAATCCTCCTTCAATTTTAAATACAACAGATCAACACTACTAATCTACTTACTCAAAAGGCAACTTCTCATCGTTTGGCTTTATGCATCTTACATAATGAGGGGTGGTTGTGTTAAGTGTCTCCATAAGTAAATACAAAGAACTGCGGAACTAGAAAATACAAAATATAACAGTTTTGGTACTAAAACATATACAGCTAAGCAAAAAGACAAATCAAAGTTTTTAAATTCTCTGTTATTGGCTGGACACTGGGAGATTTTTTTAGGGTCTTGGTCTTAATTACAGGCAACATTTGTATTTAAAACATTTTCCTATATATAAATTAAACATTGCTCTCTCATGGCAAAACAGATACTCTATGGCAAACAGCAAGAGTACCACAGTTTCAGGCTGCCCAGCACCATTTCCTAGAAGTACGAGCAACACAGAATAACATATTTATACAGTACCTTGCTGCCAACTGTCATCCGGAACTGTTTGTTAGGAGATTTTAGAACAGGTCTTGCAGATTTGATGCTTATAGATGAACCGAAAGGTGAAACAGACACCGAATTGTCTTGGAAAAAGTTTGCACACAGATGAAACTACAAGTGTGGTGAAAGAATCACAGTTAAGTACTGTTAAACTATTCAACAAAAAAATATTAATTCAGGTAAATGTGCATAATATGACACAGTCTAAAATAGTGTTATTTAATCTTTCAGGGGATTTTGAAGTTGCAACTACAAATTTTTCTTGCAGTAAAATTGAAGATATAAACTAACAGATTCAGACTATTTAATAAAAACACCTTTTTATTAAAACAAATCTTTAAAAATTGGATCTGAATTAATTCCAAAAAGGGTTTCTAGAAAATTCATCAACCTTAATTGTTCACAAACCTTGCTATTTTTCAGGATTTCGATTAATACTTCATATACTGTATCTCTGTTTTTTTCCAGAAATCCATCACATTTATATTCCACCTGTATAAAGGAGTGACATTATTAACTTCTCAGAAATACATGAACAGTTAGCAAAACAACAATTTTTACTCTCTAAGCTTCTCTCTAAACTGTAGTGGACAACAGGTCTTTACTAATCTTAAACAAGGTGGATGTAACTCTACTACAACCAGTTTCATTAGGGTAAGCACATACAAACACGTTTACTGCAAGCTTAGTTTTGCACGACAAGCTGCAATTACCTTCTACCTTGATTAGAGTTTCTTTCCTTCCCTCCTTTCATTATTCTCCTCTATGATTTCAAATAAAAATGCCAAAAAATAAATACCAATTTTCAAGTGTAAGTAACTGGCACGTCTTATGCTTAAATGGCATGTCCTGGTCAACATTGCTAACAACTAATATGTTTTATGATATATATCATCACACAGACATTTTTTTAAAAAGTGTTATTTCCTCTGCTTTTGATAAGCTTGTTTCTTTTCCGAATGAGATACAGCTGGAATTATGGTGAAATATTACTAGGTTGTGTGCACCCTACCTTATCAGCAAAGTGTTGAATAATGAAAGATGTGTTTGACATCCTTGGCTTTTCAAAGAGTGCATTTTTGTTGATGAAATTATTATATAGCTTTTGAAGCCAGTTTTCATCTGTTCCATGAGGTAACTATAAAAACAAGGCAAGAGATCTCTCTTAACAAAACTGTGCTTTACTGATAAAAA